AGCCCAAACCGCGTAGATGCGGGAACTGTGATTGGTTGGACGGCGTGTTGGATGGTTCACGTCATGCGCGCTAGTAAGTCTGGTGACCGCAACGACCTTGAGCTCCAGACAGATTGAGGCCACGAGGGGAAAGCCAGACATCGGACAGGCGGCAACCACTACAAATTCTCCAAGATGGACTACCGTCTACTAGAGATCACAGGCCAATTTCTGGGACATGTTTATGAAACCCCTTGTGATCTTGAGTCTGGATCACGCAAAGCTCGATAGCTGACCTTTCCAATCGAAATTCCTGGTGAAGTCAACGAAGGAGCTCTGAAATATAGCATTATCAGTTGGGCGGGGCCTCCGCGTTATCGTTATTCCTTTACTTCTATGTTTAGGGGTTTCGCCTGTAACAAGGAGGTAATGTTGAAAAAAATGCTTAGCAGGTATTTTCAAGGGGACGAAAAAACCCGCAGCTTTTTCGTTCACTGCGGATTAATAAAGTGCTGAAGTGACCACATTTATCTAGCACAAGTTTCGAAGGTCGCACTTTATGCGGTATCATTCAGCTGGTTGAGTAAAACAGTCAGTCTACAGATTAGACACAGCATAATTATTTCTTTTGGAGTCTAGACAGAACTAAACTTCCTTGGCGTTAATAACTGACTTTGATCAGAGTGCTAACGGTGGTCCTACAAATATCGCGTCCGGATGCATGCGTATCTCACGCCTGTGACGTAGGTCACACGACGGCATGGAGCTAGAACCGGGAATCTGGAAATTTGCGAAGGCCTGATTTCAGAGGGAGGAATTGTAGCTACGACTTGACATTACTGAATGCGAATTCCTCACTACAGTTTCCTTTATAGTATTGAGAAAGAGGCACACTTTATTTTGAAAATATAATTCACAAAACGGTTACCAAAACGTCCTCCAATCACCATGAATAAAATTAGGCACACAAACTCACAACACCGGCAAATCAAAAGCAATCAACGATCGCCAATGACTGCAATTGACGAAATCGTGAATAAATGTTCTTGGAGAATTCCTCAAATGTAGGCGACTTTGAACTGCTTTCTAAACGGTGCCAGCGTCGTGCACTGATGAACTCATTGTCGTTCAAACAGACAAAGAGGGATAAAATCTGTTTATAATGGTCGAAGTAGGTCAACCGACGTAGATATAAGAAAATTTACATGCGAATGAAGGAAAGAAAAAATTGCGGCTCAATTTGAAAAGCCCGGTTGTCTTCTGCTGGTGATCCGAGCTGTGCCAGCTACATGACTGAAACCAGGGATGCAGCTCTTGCCAATTCTCCCTCTAACGGGTGAGCTTTGCGTTTGTCCGGTGTGATTTACCGTTTTTATGGCTTAGGTAGCACGTGCCGGTAGCGGCCCGGGATAGAAACAGTTTGGCAATGGCGGCTGCTCAATCTTATGTCCAGCGACGTTAAAGTCGTTCAGTATTCATCCACCCCCTCCCCCCCCCTCTATCCTCCTTTCTGACGTCAGACTTAAGGGTCAGTTGAGAAGCCCTTGACCGTCCTCAAGCTGCTACTGCTCTCCCTTCGGTACCATAATTCTTCCTTAATTATTGTACGCACATACCGGGAATAAGTACGTTCTTCCCTGCTCTCGAGTCCGCTCAGTCGATCAGGGGTGGGAGCGAGGGTGGATGGGTCATGGACATAAATTAAGCACTGTACTGGGCCAGATGCCGGCTTGATTAGTCTGTCGATCGTTCTACGTGTTTGCCGGCGGCACATCTCGCGTATCTTCATTGTTTTAACCCTGCTGTGGTAATTTGGGGATGTGACTTTGCACACCCCAAACATCGCGCCAGGTCTTGCCTCCTCCCCCCCTCCCC